CGGCTTTGGCCGGCACAACGCGGCCCCCTCCTGGGCGCAGCCAGCCCAGGCCTCCTCGGACGGCAAGAGACAGCACCCCAAGGGACCTCCCTTGCCTCCCGCTCGCAGCGACAGCTATGCAGCCATCAGGCATCACGAGAGGCCCGGCTCCTGCGCCGGCCTTGATCTGAACAAGCCCGGTCGAACCCAGCCAAAAGGGGCCTGGTCCCCTCTTGTCGGCACCCTACCCCAGGGGCCGCTGCTGAAAGCCCCCTTTGGAGAAGGGCACCTGCACACAGTGGTGGAGAAGAGTCCAGAGAGCAGCACCATGGTGAAGCCCAAGCAGAGCTATCCCCAGCCAGCCCAGCCAGGGCAGCCCCTGCTGCCCACTGGTGTCTACCCAGTACCTTCCCCCGAGCCACACTTCGCCCAGGTACCCCAGCCCTCTGCAGGCAGCAATGGGACGCTTTATCCAGCTCTGGCCAAAGAAAGTGGCTACTCTCCGCCTCTTCCGTTCTCCTACGACAAGGCCATAGCCAGCAGCACCCTGGGCTTTGAGGAGAATGGAAACCAAAGCACTACAAACAGACCAACCGTCTTCTACCAGCTCCCAGCAGCTGAGAGAAAGCACGATGCCGCAGCAAAACTTCTCCAGCAGAAACCTCCTACTGTGGCAGGCCCAGAAGCCGCCCCAGCCACGCCAGGAAGGGAGGAGTTGTTACCCCCCTACAAGGTAGCGCACAGCAACCGAGAGACCGTGAGTGCTGCACAGGCCTCCAAACACACTTTTCAAGCTCCACAGCCCCAGCTGAGGGATACTAGTGAGAGAAAAACCCATCACCAGCCCAAAGAGGACTGGCCAGCTGAAGCTCAGGAGGACAAAAATGGCAATGCACAGATGAACGAGAGAGATGCTGCTGCTCACCACCAGTGGGGTCACAGCAAGGCCATGCACTATGGCTTCTCCTCCTTACAGAACATCCCAGAGAGTTCCAGGAAGCAAAGCAGCTCTGAGCTAAGAGACCTGCAACCAGGTGAGGGTTATGCCAGCACCAAACTGTCCTTCTTGAACAGCAGCAGTAAAGAGGAGAAGGATCACAGGGGACAGGGGCACAAACAGTGGAGTGATGTGGACCTACAGGCCTTTGCGAGGCAGGAGGAGGAGGAGGGCACGAGCGTGACTCCGTTCCGAGCTGCCAAGCCAAAGTGTGAAGAGCCCCTTTCTCCGCAGCACCCAAAGGCCTCTGATTTCGGAAGGAGCCGGCTCAGCTCTAGCAGCACCCAAAGCTTTCTCTACAGCAAACCGGATGCTGGGAAGCCTCGCTGCCTGGTGCTGGAGAAGGTCAACAAGTTTGAGCAGAACACTCACCAGCCGCAGAATGCTGGCGCTCCCAGCTTCGGCCAGCACTACGGGCCAAGCAGGACGGGCCAGCCCTCCAGCACCAGGTGCTCTCTGCACAGCCTGGAGGACATGAGGAGCAAGCTCCGCGAGGCCAGACAGCTGCCCAGCGAGCCAGGCAAGGTCTCCAGCCCCTCCATCAGGAACGGGAAGCTGGAAGAGGCTGACTGGCACCCCATAGAGCTGCAGATGGTGGCTTCAGTGAAGCAGGTAAGACCCAGCGAATACTACAGCCTGTGTCCCGAAAGTGAGGTGCAAATAAGGGTGGCTCAGCTCCCAAGGAGTAAAAGCACGTTCCAGCTGAGAGGCGAGCCTGAGAAGGAGATCCTCTGGCAGGACAGCATCCAGGATGCCCATGGGTCGCAGCTGGACACACCATTTAACAGGGCCTACAGGAACAGCATTAAAGATGCTCAGTCCAGGGTGCTGAGAGCCACTTCCTTCCGTCGCATCAGCCCCCCGTTTGGGAGCACGTCCAAGAGGACTACCCAGAGGCCTGCCTCGGCCCACGTGGGCATGAGGAGCACGGCGGCGTCTCCCCACACCCCGAAGGAGAGGCACAGCATCACGCCCACGGAAGGCAGCCTCTCCGCCCTGGACTACGCCAAGGCACAGCACGTCGCACGCGTCGGGGGCCGGAAGCGGCTGACGGCGGAGCAGAAGAAGAGGTCTTACTCGGAGCCGGAGAAGATGAACGAGGTGGGTGTCTCTGATGGGGAGCCATCGCCTTTCTCCTTCCAGAAGAAGAGCATCCATTTTGTCTTCCCGGAGAATACGGTGGCAGACCGGCGCAAGATATTCGAAAGGGATGGCAAAGCTTCTTCCACAGCCAGCCTCTCCAAGCCAGAGCTCAAGCAGCTCCAGCAGAACGCCCTTGCTGACTACATCGAGCGCAAAACGGGGCGACGGCCGTCCTCGCAGGATGTCGGGCTGCTGCGGGAGCGCTCCCACAGCTCCTTCCTCCAGGCGGGTGGCCCAGACAGCCAGAGCCTTTCCTCTGCCTCCAGCATGAATTCCCTCCAGGACCAGAACCTTTACCACCGGAGAGAGTCCATCGAGCGGATATCCAGGATGGGGCAGGTATCTTCTACCCTTCCTGCTGAGCTGACGGGGTACTTCAACGGGAGTGGTGATGAGAAGAAGACAGGGCGCCTGGACAGCTCGGTCACAAGCCGAGCGAGAACGGAGAGGTGCTGGGATTACAGAGCCAAAACGGAGCTCACTAAAGGCACGCAGACGGACCCTCTGGGCGTGCAGGGCCAGGCTCGCTACAGGAAGCAGGAGCAAGTCTTTGGAATACCCTCCTCCACTGCCAGGAAATCTGGGAAGTCGGTGTCTGTGGAAGATCTGCTCGATAGGTACGACAATCAGGCGGTCCCTGTGCACATACGTTCCAGGTCGTCTCCCACGGCGGATAAGAAACACCAGGTATGTGGGACCAGGGTCGCGCATACGGGCAAGCAGGGAGTGGGGAGGGGGTGTCGGAGGACAGGCTGGTGCTCAGTCACAGCACTCGCCCCATGGGGGATAGCGGGAGGCGAAACGTGGGGATAGAGGCCGTTCATTGTGTTTGAATGGCCAGGGTGCTGTTGTAGAGGCTTGCCAGTGGGGTACTTCTCCTGTGCAGCTTCCTTCCTGCTGGGGCTGTTCCAGGAATTTCAGAGATGCTGGGATTTCAGTGCATATGCTAGTAGCATGTGTGTGTTCTGGCTGCTCTGGATATCCCATCTGAGGTGTCTTGTTTTTACCTGGCAGCATCACCAGAGTAGCACCGAGCACCTTTGTGAGGGGTGTACCATTCAGGCAGTGATAGGCTGTTGCTGCTGTTGCACCTTACCCTGCTTTCCTGGTGCCCAGTAGAGAAGATTAAAGGCTGCTTGAAACTGCCCCGGCTCCCACTGTGCCTGACAGTGCTGAGAAATGCTTGGCAGAGGCACTGCCAAGTAGCCGCTGTGTTTTGCCTCCAGCCCTGGAGGGAAGCATTGCAGAGAGAACTTAGTGGAGACCCTGGCAGCTCTGCCCGTGTACTCTGCTTGGCGACTGGGAACGTTACACTGATGTCACAGATGGGGAATTCAACTAACTCTGCTGATGGTAAATAGCAGGAGCAGGCTAATTTCTTAAGAAACTGCTGCCCAGGCCACCTCTTCAGCTGGCTGGAATCTGTTTAGACCCATTTAGGTAACTGCAGCTGGTCGACCCACGCGGATTTACAGCAGTGGTGGGTCTACTGCCCCATCCTCATCTCCTCACCAGGCTCCATTGATCACGGGGAGAGCAAGGAAATAACCAAAATGTGTGGACAGGCTCCTCGCTCCAAATAGTCTGAGTGTTTGGACAGTCTTACATATTTACAGGGCAGCTGAGATCTAGGACATCTCGTACTCTTGCGCTCGCAGCTGGCCCAGAACAGATTATCTGGGGGTAGCAAAGTGGTAAAGTAATGGGGAGGAGGCTCTGGGCAGCATCTTGGAAACAGGCCAAACCAGGGTGTGGGCAAGGAGCCGTCCTCCCAAACTCCTTGTGTGCTTCATTCTAAATGTCCTCCCTTGGTAGACCTCAGATCCCACGCTACGTTTTTAAATAGAATTTAAAAAGCAGCCTATGAATATCAAGTGACTGGAATGCATTTCCATCACCACTGCTGCCTCATCCCATCATCAGTATTTTTCCACACCAGCTCATCTGTGCAATTTTGTCACACTTGCCCATCATCAAGTCTTGCATTCAGTAAGAGGACAGTCCTTAAGAAAGAGCTAGGCTGAAGGCCACACTGCAATTCTTTCTCTGCCTCCTGAAACGGTCAGAGCAGCAAGAAAAATAGGCATCCAGAAAGAGGAAAATCACTAAAATGTACTTTTCAGTGATAGGTTGGACAATGAGCAGCCCCAGTTCATTTTTACCCAGCCCACTCTCTTGGGCAGGGAACACACAGAGTAGCTCTTGAGATCTTTATTTCCTCCTTGTTGGCTCATTTTTAATCTTGGATACGTTCAGCAGCCCAGCCAGAGCTTCTGCCTGTTGAGAGCTGACTGGAGGAAGACGATGAACAGCACTGGAGACCTGTTTGCAGGGTCTTAGTTCAAATGTAGAAGAGGAGAGAGCCCTTATTGCTGTTTCCCAGAGTGGTTTAGCTGGATCCACTCCTAGGATGAGGGTTCAGCCCCATAGGCAGCAAGGCAGTTGTCAAAATCCAGTTCTTAAATCCTGACTCAAAAAAGCATGTTTGATTTCCAACCTATACACCAATGCCTAAGTGTCTTTTGAGAGGGAAGTATATGTTTAAGTCTTCTCTTAATTAAATTTGTTTCTGATCTGTCTCCAGTACAAAACCAGAGCCATGAAAATGGGGGACAGAGCCAGAGCAACAGGGTGGGTTTTGGGGGGGGTTTTTTAATGTGTTTTCTCCCTTTCAGATTTTTTGAGGGAAATGTTTATTGCCAGTTTAGCAGCAAACTTTTCTGCCTCACTGTATGTTTTTCAGAGCCTTGTGAACAGTGTCCAACGTTCCTTTTGGGCTGCATATAAATCACAGTGCAGTGTCACTGTAGGAATTTGTTTAAAGATGCAAAGAAATTGATAGCTGTGTGGAATTGTTAGCCCTCGGTCTCCAGAACACATTCTCAGCCTTCTGTCCCCTTGGCTTTCTCAGTCTGTCTCAGCCCACATAGCTCCCAGCTCCAGGAGTCCTAAATCAGACTCCCCACTGACCCTCTCCCTGCAGCAACACCGACCAAAAGAGCAGATCAGTAAGGGTGTGGGGAAGGGGGTGCTGAAAGGGTCTTCGGTGGAAAGATTGTGGGGGAGAAAATCCCAGCCTTGTCAAAAGCAGCCTTAGCATTTGCTTTCCTGTCTCATAATAGCTTGGTGTCCTGGGGTGGGAGCTCTAGGGCAGAGAGACTTGGAGTCACAGAGGTATTTTGGCTGCAGAATTGATCTCGTTTTAGGTGACAGAAATGCCTCAAGAGGCAGCAGTTCCTGCGCTTTGGTTTTCAAAAGAACCCAGCACTGGACTTGGTGATGTTTTTCAGCACTTCTGCCCGCGGCTGGAATTTCCTTTGTGGCATTCGGCGCCTCTACAGCGTTCCAGCCCTGGTTTGGTGCTGGGCTTGGGCACAGAGTGTTTGCTCTTTAACTTCCCTGGTTCAGGCGGCTTTGCTCATGTCTCAGCTTCTTGCTTGCATGTAAAACAGAGGTGTAAAATGCCCAGGTCCTGCTGATCCCATCAAGCATGTTTTTAGAAGAGGCAAGGACCTGCTGAGAGTTTTTAAAAAGGATTTCTCTGAGTAAGTCCACCTGGTGGTCCACAATCCATCGATGAAAAGGCAGAGGGCTCCTCTAAGCAGGAGCAGGGTGCTGGAGAGCAGTACCCCACACTGGAGTTTTCCTCCCACCTCTATAGGGCACATGCCATGCTCTCTTCTTACTAGGAACCGTCGGTATTTTGCTATGTTTTTTTTTTTTTTCTTTCTGCTCGCTGCTAATAACTGTCTTTGAACTCCAGGACCTGCTGAGAAGGGAAAGCAATGAATTTGGCCCTGTGGTGAGAGATCCTTTCTATGTGGTCAGTGCAGGATCCAGGTGGGTATATGTTACTGTCCCCTCTGTCCTTGCAGGGTCAGCTTTTGCCATTCTGCTGCCAGCAGCAGTTGTCATGTGTTCTGCATGTAAACACAAGGATTGTGACAAGCTAGAGAAAACATCTGCACAGACACAGTTCTGGGTGTGCTCTGCCCATCGGGGCTAGGAAGAGTGAGGTGCTGTGAGCTTTGTTTCTCAATGTAGATATTGATTCACTATCAAGCCCTCCTCACGTCACCTTGGAGCACACTTCTGCAGCAAATTTCCAGTTACATAACTTCCCAAATGTGTTTGGTTTGCTCTTAGAACTCACATCCAGATGCTATTGTAACTGAAGGGTTCTGAAGGAAAAAATACCTTGATGGCCCACTTCTGGTTTTCTCCAGTCCAGGGTGCTGCCTCCCCAAATGCAAGCAAACATTTACATGGACTAAAACCAGGAGATTTAATTTATCTTACTGAACTGGGGGCCTGTGTTTAGGCGGTTTTCCTTTGCGCAGGCAGTGTATTTTGCTCAGCAACAGGGAAGAGAGACTTGTTTTTAAAAACAGAGAAGTGTAATCATAAAACTCATCATGTTAGGACTTCTGTAACTATCCACTTAGGAGTGGATTGTTTTGAAGTTAACTGGAACTGAAGTTGATCTTGCTGTATTTACACTGCAATAATAAATAGATGTTTGCCCTAAGCTCCAAGTGCCCAAACAGCAAACTCATATTCCAGTAAAACTCATCAAGAGGGACTAAAAGAATTCTTCACAAAGGAGCTCTGTTTCTCACAGGCTTGCAGTAAATGTCAGTGTGCTCTGTTGTCCCAGTGGGAGTTAACGCTGCTGTCTGCAGAGGCTTCAATGTGCAGCTCTGGATCACAGAGCGGCAGCTGGAAGCAGAGGAAGGCTCCTGTTCTAGCTGGGTCTTACTTCTGACTGGCTGGCCATTTTTGCCCCTAAGAAAAGATCAGTGTTGTTTTAGAGGGACTCAATCTGCCTTCAGGCACATCCTTTTATGATTATTTGAAACACACCCCTTTACCTTGATTTGAAATAACCTTTTCCATTTTTTTCCACGAGAGAACAATACAGCTGGTTTAGTTCATCCTGCCTCCCTGTTTCTTCTAGAGATGGATTGCATCATTCTTCTCAATAACTACTCGTGGCTTCATTTCTGGGGGGTATTTTGCCCCCAAACCTGTTTTCCAAGTAACAGGATTGAACACCCAGAGTGAAAACAAGTTTATTTGGGCATTAAATGTAGGTGTCTTGTTCTCATGCTTCACTTCACAAAGATTATTGGTATTAACAGTTTTATGTTGTTTCTGCTGCATAGGCATCCTGCATGCTCTGCAAGCAGATTTCTTCTGGGAGAGATGAGGTTCCTTTCCCCTCTAGATTAGAACTGGATTTCTCAAAAGATAGAAGTAAAGAATGGGTGAAGACAGGAGAAGGCCCCTAGCTCTGAGGACACAGGGTCCCCACTACACAGACTGCAAATCACTCCCTACGAGCCTTCACTGCTGAGTGATTTTTTTTTTTATTTTACTACACCTAAAATGACCTGAAGGAGAATGGGCATGAACTTTAGAAGCCAGAGGGCTCTGGTTGTCCACTGAGTTTTATGTTTAACTCTCAGTGGGAACGAGATCTGAATCCTCTGCAGACTGAAGGGGACAGGTAGACCAAAGCCCTACCCATGTGTCACTGATTTACACAAGGAGTTCCACTATTAGGATACAGTTGAATGTTCCCCTGCCTCTGTGTGAGTATTTCACAGTCTGGTTCGTAGGGGATTATTGTAGCCTCTTTAATGCATCCTGTCTCTGTTTAAGGGCTCAGGGCAGGACCCCACAGAGCAGAATTTATGCTCCCCCTCCCTATCCCGTAGTTTTCCCCAGATGGAAAGATAAACAAGGGAAGTCAGGAGTAAGAGAGACTTTGCACCAACTGGGAGTTAGTAAAAATAAAGTATATTGTTTAACAGGGAACAGAAAGCAAGAAGGGAGGTAGATATATACACGAAGATGGAGGGAAAACCAAGTAACCACAAGCTGTACAAAACCCCGTCTGGGCTGGCGCAGGATCGCTCGGCACCGTGTGGGTGCAGCCCCGCTGTGCTCTCCCACCCTGGAGCACCCACCTCCTGCCTCTGTTATAGAGGGTGGGAGAGGAAGGGGGAGGGAATAAACTGCTTCCCCCCTGGGACCCTCAGGGTCCTAGATGTTGCCTCTCCCACCCCCAAGCCTCAACCACAACACATCCTTAAAGAGAAGGATTCTGGTTGGCTGTCCTGTGACCGCCAGCCCAAAATAGCTGGTTTTGTGGCCATCCCTCTGACATCTGACCATCCTGCCTCTGTCTGCAGCCTACTCCATGCACAGGCCCTCCAGGGAAGGCAAGAGCAGGCCCTAGGAATTATGCTTCTAGGTTTCCTTGGGATACAGTTACTTAATATGTTGGAGGGGAGGTGGGACCATCCCTACCACCTCTCTTGCTCAAGGAAGAAACTGTCAGAGAGTGAAGTTACAGAAACCCTGGTCAGCAGTCGCTTGGTCTGTGACTTGGGCTCCGTGCTCTTACACGACTCCCCAGGTGTCACAGGAGAGCTGCCTCCTAAGCACCGTTGGGAACGGTTCTTGCTCCGCCAGTTTTGAAATCTACAACTGCTTCCACAGTAGGAGAGACCTTTCAATTAGAGAACTGCCATCTGGTGTTTCTTACAAACACTGAGCATCTGAAAAGAACACACATTGCTACTGTCCAGGAAACACAGACAATACCAAGACCAGTCTGTCTGGGACATTTCCCCACCCCCAGGCAAAGGCTCCCAAATTCTATTTTCAGTTACACCACAATACAGCCAGAATGACCCATGTGTTTGACAGTTACTCTTAGTTTGTATCACTACGTCTGAGAGCAAATTTGGGGCCCACGTCTCAAACATCAGAGACTGGCAGTGTTGGATCTCAAGAACAGAAAATAGACTGGCAGTAGAGTTTTGTTGTAGTTTGTTGGTTTATGATATGGCCTCGTGTTTTAAGGCCATCTTCTCTTGCATCTCCTAGCTCTATTATTACCGCTCATTTTTTTTCAAGCTAAAGAGGCATACGGGCAAGTAGCATACGAGGAGAAATGGCCTCAAGTTGTGCCTGGGAAGATTTTGATTGGATATTAGGAAGAATTTCTTCACTGAGAGAGTGGTTAGACACTGGAACGGGCTGCCCAGGGAGGTGATGGAGTCCTCATCCCTGGAATTGTTCAAAAAGCGAGTAAATGTAGCACTAGAGGCTATGGTCTAGTGGTTAGGGAGATGTTGTGAAGAAGGTTGGACTTGATGATCCTGGAGGTTCTTTCCAACCATGGTGATTTTATGATTCTGTGATTCTCATACTCACCTGGGAATGTCTTAAGAAGCCTGGAAGAGAGAATTTAATCTGTTGGCTTTGCAGCCCTACCATCCATCTGCAGTTGTAGTGTTTTGGCTTGAGACTTTGTAAATCCGAATAGAGCCCTTCTTTCTACTGGGGTTTCAAGGTTATAAGAGCTCTTTTCAATTTTTCTCTGCAGTCAAAATAATGCATTTTTTTTCTCACTTTGTTCTCGGGGACAGTTGAATCATTTTGATGGCACCCTTCCAAACAGAGCAGATAATTTTAAGGGAATTTAAGGAATTTTAAGGGCCCCTTTATGGGCCAAGTTTTTGGCCCATGAAGCTGAAATTCTTAAAATTACTAATAACTGAAAATGGAGTTTGATGGTAGATAATGTCAAGTAGCCTATCTTAGAGCAGTTGCTATTAGTCCCATCTGTAAGAAACAAAACTCAAAGCAAGGCTGGAAAGGAAGCCAGGCACTTAGGTTTTCCTGAATTTTTTTCATTAAGTTGTTGCTGTGATGCGTGCTACATGAGCACATGTGTAACCCAGATCAGCAAGCACTGACCCAGGCCTCTGATATGGTTGCATAATTTGCTCGTTAAGGAGGTTCACAATAGCTTTTCTTGCTCATTGATTAATTATTAATCTTATCATGGTCTGTCTCTTGATATTTAGGTCTTTCAGCAAGAAAGAAAGAAGCCACTCAGAAAAAATGGCGTTCCCAAGTTACTGTCCCCATCCTCACCACAGCAGCGAGGCTGTCACTGGGTCCACCGTGCTGACCGAGAACCACAAGCTCTCAGAACTTTCCAGGCCAGATAGCAGGACTTCTGCCTTTGTCCCATCCCCAACAGAGGCAAGGAGTCACTATCCCGAGCAAAAGCAAGGCTTTAAACCCTTACTCCTTAACCTTAATCCTTCTGGATCTGGCCAGTCCTCCCCTAATACACCCACCCAGACTCCCTCAGACTTCGAGAGTGCAGGTGATGGCCAGGCTCTGAGACAGCACCATGCCAAACGAGATACTGTTCCTGCTGAGGGCAATGTTAGTATTCAGGCACAGTTTTCGGATGCTGTCCAGGATAGATCCCCCGAGACTCTCACGGAAGAAATGATGTGGAGAAGGAAAGCTGGGCTGCCTCACAGATCCTTCCCACCCAAAGTGCTGTGGGCTCATTCCGTCAAAGACAACAGCTACTCGAGGGCTATGGTGTCTCCTCCAGCAGCCACGCCAAAGTTCTCCCAGAGGTGGCAGTCCCTGCCGACACAGAGCAGCACTTCTTCTGACCCCGAGACTCCTTCTCCCCAGGGGACGACGCATCTGCGGATCTCAGAGTCTGTCCTGCAGCTCACGCCCCCGCCTGTGCTGCAGGACGATGAAGACGACGAGGTGTTCATCACGCCTTCCCAACCCCCACTGCCATCCCATCCTCTCCCTGAGCTGAGCTCTTGCACTTCTGCAAATGGCACAGAGGAATTCCCACCTCCTCCCCCAGCGCTGGCCCTTGAGGGGAACGGGGCAGCTGGAGACAAATCCCCCAGGCTCACAGGGGCGGCCGAAGCGAGGTAAGGGAGGTCTGTAACGCAGCGTCTCGGGCGCCGTAGGGCCATATACAGTAAGATATGCAAGGCTCCAGACACATGCAGCTGACCTCCACAGCTCTGCGTGCCACCACGACCCATCCACAGCTGCTGGCCGAGTAGGAGGCTCCCAGGGGAGTGCTGGTGTAGGGAGAGGGACAGACAGATGGACTCACTGCCACTAGGCTTTGCTGGCTGCCAAGGGCCTTGTCAGATGGTGTGGCCAGGGCAGGGCACAAAGCGAGAAGGTGAAAAGCTTGGCAGCCCATCAGCAGATCCACTGGCAGGTGCTTAGCTGACAAGCCAGGGGGGTTATGAGTGAGGGACAATCCTGGTCTCGTTCTCCCTGCAGCTACTGTACCAGTTTCCATTGGGTTGGTTCTTACTCGCTCCAGAATGAAGAGTTACAATGGCTGCTGACTCCTTCCCATTAGTTGTTTTTGAGGGATAACTGAAAATCCGTGATGCTTTTTCCCAACAATTAAGGGTTCCCCAGAATACATCTTAGACCTAACACAAAATAATGCTGTTATGAAATAGTGACCATCTGTCAAGAGGTGACAACACAAATATGTCAGAGTCACAATCTGTAGTGGATTTCTCCTGGAGGGTAGGACTTTGGGCTAGGTGCCCAGCCCATTCAACTCGGCACAGCTTCCCTCCCTTTCAAGGAGCTGCCCTGGTTTCCATCCAGGAAGAATGCCAGGGCTGTGGCAGCGATTGGCTTTTCCAACATGAAAAGAGCAAATGAGTAGAGATTGCTCAGGATGGGACGTGCAGGTGGTGAGACTCAACATCCCCAGATGTGAGCAGAGAACAGTTCGCTCACTGGTTCTTTCTGTGTTGGAATGACAAAACAGCAGAGTCCAAGTTGGGGGACAATATTCCTCTGGTGCCAGTAGCTTCATACTGTGGGTCTTCCCATGTTGAAATGAGGAGTGAGACACAAACATGAGTGAGAGAGAAAGAAAACTTAATGTCTTAGGGCTTCACTGTGTGCTCACAATGGTCCTGTGTTAAGTTTATCTTCATCTCATGGAATTTTTCTGTCCATAGCAGCTTCAGAAGCATTCCCAAAGCCCTGGCCGAGAGGGAGATAACAGGGTTGGGCACCAACCTTAGTGAAAATAATTGGCCCCTCTCACCACCCGCATCAAAGAGGACTAGCTCTCCATCTGCTGTGGATAAGCAGCACCTATTACCTGCTTCAGAAGACCCTCAAAGTGCTGATAGACAGCCCATAACTCATCCTGAAGGTAACCACAGAGAGCCAGCAGTTGTCACTGGGGAGTCGAAAAACAGCAGCCTGGACTCTGGGATACTCAGCACGGCAGCTCCAGCGAAGATGAAGACCCCAGAGGATATTAAGTCAGAGGCTCTAGCAAAAGAAATTGTCCATAAAGACAAGTCTCTGGCTGATATCCTGGATCCAGATTCCAAAATGAAGACAACCATGGACTTAATGGAAGGGATTTTCCCCAGTGGAACCAGCTTGCTGAAGGAGAACATGAATAGGAAGATGTCGCAGAAGAAAGCCAGCAGGACAGCAGTCAAAGATGACATGTAAGCACTGCTTGTGTGTGTTGAGGGCTAATGTCACAGCAGAATTCACTCCTTCCTTGCTTTTAAGGACAAGCCTGTGCCAGATTTTTCCATGTCATTAGGGGTGGACACTGGTGGGAGAGTGAGTTTCTTGGTTGCCAGGCGTGAGGACTGGCAGGGCATTTCTGAATGCCTTTCTCATGAGCTCAGATGGATGTGTGGCCTTGGAGCTCACCTCTCTGGGCTGTGTAGAAAATGATGCTGAGATTGGTAACAGGGCGTAAAACAAACCAGCTCTGGAGCTGTTACTTGACTTTGCTACCTTAACCTTTGTAATTCAGTCCAAAGCACAGTATCAGAGATATGAGAATAAAATCAGGACCAGATCAGTGGTGGGCTCAAAGATAATGAGAGGACAAGTTTTGGAAGAAGGGATGGAGGCGCGTACTTATTACAAGGGGGGTGCAAAGATCAGCCTAGGCCCTCCAGTGTGGTTTTTTTTAAGCAAGACTCCCAAGAGACAGCTGGAGAACTATGTAGAAGTAAGCTGGCGTGCGTCTTGCCAGGTGGGATGGTCAGTCTAGCCATCACTGGCTGATGTGCCTTCAGGGAGGATCTGATCCTGTAGAGTCATTAACCAGTCAACATTAACAGCAGGACTGTGCTGTTCTGCACCCGGGAGAGAAGTGAAAGCAGCTGACATGCCCCCTCTGATGGCAGGAACCGGCCACTTCCCTTGTGGTTAATGGCACTGGGAAGATACCAGAGGGAGTGCTGGAAAAGCGTGGGAAAAAGGCTCAGACTGAACTCCTTTTTATTCCCTGTGGTGTAGGAGAGAAGACAAGGAAACTCCTGTAACCCTGGTCGCCTGTCCTGCTTATTACAACGTTTCAGCACCCAAAGCAGAGCTGCTAAATAAAATCAAGGACTTGCCAGAAGAAGTAGGGGATGAAGAGGAGCTGCTGGACATCAATGAGAAGAAGGTAAATTCAGCACATGCCACCATTTAATTCCAGCACACGACACTGTTTGCTGATTAAATTCCTGAAATAATAATAAGCCCTAAAGTAAAGTGCATTTCTATTTGATGCCAGCTTCTGTCAGTCCCAAGCTGCAGGGGTGCTGGGTGCATTTAGGCCACCAGTGCAGCTTCATTAGGGTGACTCGGGTGGAACGATGAGAGCTAATCTAAGTACTCACTGCAAATCTGAATAGGAATCTTGCACAGCCCTGAGGCAGACCTATATTACACCAAATGCTGGGTGTACAGGTGGTAAGAGGCAGTCCCTGTCCCATAGCAGGGAAGGAGGAGGGAGAGGTGAAGTGGTTTGAGTAAGGACAGCTCGGGTTAGAAACAGGAACAAACAGAGTCCAGCTGGTGACTGCACCAAGTGCATGAGGTTTCACACAAGGATTTTCCTCTTCAGTGAAGCCAATTTACCCATTCTAGCCTCTGTCTGCACTCACTGTTCCAAAGAAATATTGGTTATTCTTTTTTCCCCCCCACATTTTGTCGTTTCACTGACCTGCTGAAAGCCATGTCCAGCTCAGCAGCTCGGTCAGCACAACCTTGGTGTGGTGACTTGGCTGGGAGGAGAGCAGGGCAGGAGAGGAGGAAACATTTTCCTCTCTTACTGTGGCTGCCTCCCACTGAGGAGTGGCCCCTGCAGCTCTTGCTGTAGGCTTGCATGCTCTGTCTGCCAGGGCTCTGGCAGGGCCTTCTGATTTGCCCCCATGGCTGTCTCACGTTGGTTACCTGGTAATTACAGACATGTTGCAAAGCTCACAAATCCCAAGGAGCCACAGGCAGGTTACTTGGCTGGCTGTGCCTCCCTTGACACACCTTCCACCTCTGCATCAAAATCCAGCCGTCAGGCATGGATTTAAAGGGAGGCTTCCAAACTTAGCCTCCCTGTCAAAGTGCATGTCTGCAGCACAACTCCACATATTCTCTCACCCCCCGCCAAGTGTAAAAAAGCAGAGAGAAGATGTGAAGTGAGTCGTGGTTGTGAGTACACAATTTGTCCTGCAGCTCTGACTTGGGAGAGCTCACCTTGCTTTTTTGTAAGCCTTACTCTTTCTGTTCTTGGCTTTTATCTGCTAAGCAAAATCTGCTCCCTGCCAGGCTTTAATAGAATGACAGCTAGAGCAGCACTGCCATTAAAGTAAATTGGAATGTAAATTACAGGTGCTGAGTAGACAAGCCCTATTTTGTGGAGCATTCGAGGTGCGGGCAGGACCTGGTGAGGTCTTGAGGAGCTGCCAATACCATGCTGCTGGAATGGGTTAGAGATGCTCACCATGACTGCCATCTCTGCTTTCTGTGGTCCTACACAGATAGATCATGCGTGTGTTGCTTATCAGAAGCATTTGCCTAAGGCCTTTGTCTGCTGCTTTAATATCTGGCCCGAGTGATTGGTTGTAGAGCACTGCTTCAAAGGTGATTGTGTCTGTAGCGTTCGATCGATTCCTGGGGTGCTGCTCACTTCAGCTGCCTGCTTATGCCAACGGGAAAGGTGGGGAGCAATGGAACAGGAGAAGGGTGCTGCTCCACAGAGTCAGTGAACATGCTGCAAGCATCTGACAGGCTTGTGGGGAGATGTGAGCCTGCTGTGGAGGACAAGTCCCAGGCCTCGGAGATTACATTTGCCTCGAAAAACAGAAAAAGATGGGAGTGATGAGGCCCAGAGAGCAAGATCTGCCTGGCATGTTTGTTCATGCTCTGTGTGGAAGAACATTTGCATAGGCATTATCCAGGAACGCAGCTATGCAGAAGGGTCATTTGGATAAACCAAGCAGCAACTCGGTTAAACCAAGCAAGGAACAACTGCTGCTTCTGAGCAGCTCAGTCCTCCTGAAAACCTGTCCAGATCAATGCTGGACTTCATGTGCAGGCCACAGAGTCCTGCTGTAGAGTTTTCCACCATGGTATTGTAATCACTGAAAGCATTGTTTTAAGAGGGTATTCATAGAATTATAGAATTGCTTAGGTTGGAAAAGACCTTCAAGATCCAAACATTAATCCAACTTTACCAAGTCCAGTGCTAAAACATATTCCTCAGCACCATATCTGCACAACTTCTAAACACTGCCAGGGTTCCACTTCTCTGGGCAGCCTGTTCCAGGGCTTGACAACCCTTTCAGTGAAAACATTTTTGCTAGTACCCAGCCTGAACCTGCCCCGGCACCACTTGAGGCTCTTTCTTCTTGTGCTGTCACTTGTTACTTGGGAGAAGAGATGCTCTTGTATGATTCTCATTTTATCCAGCTTTTGCATATATGTGGAAGCTGACAGCAGGCAGAGGCACAGCCCCAAACCCGTGCTCTCCAGAGGATGCACAGACAGAGTACCATCTGGTGGTGTCTGGCTGAGCAGTGCCCTTAACTCCCCAGCGGCCAAACCAGCCTTTTGAACCCCACTCTTGACAGGTCACCCCTGGGCTAGGGCTGATTCAGAGCAACCCCCAGCCTGGCCTGGGTGTGAAGATCTTACATCCTGTGAAGTTGATGCCTTCCTACTTGAAATGACCATCAGTTTTGATGGAAAGGTGGCTTTGAGAGAGTATTTTCAGGCATATGAAGAGTTTTTCCTGTTCTCTGTGCTCTCAGTTCTGAGCAAATTGAAGCAAGAATTGCAAGCCCCAGGCCACAGGCTCTTGCTTTTGGATATGTCTTTCCCCTAAATTGTAACAGAAATCAGGAGCTCCAGCACATGTGCAGCACTGCTGTTTCTGGAGTCACTGAGCCCTGGGGGCCTCCTTTTCTTGGGCCCTGAAAGAGTTGGCAGCATTTTCACAAAGTGGGCGTGTGCTCTCCCTGGCTTTGTTCCATCACTGAATAAATTCAGAGCATCTTTGGTGTAAATGCTTCATTGATGCCTCCCTGTGTGAGGCTGTGCCTGCACAGGCGGGGAAGTTTGGTCAAGGCTGAATTTGAGGCTTGCTCCTCAATACTGAGGCAGCTGAGTAAGGGGCTCTCGGTAGTTTCATGATACTATAGGATACAGGGGGAAATACAGAGCAACGCCTTTCTTGCTAAGCTGTGTGTAATTAGTAAATGTCAGCTCAGCCTCCTGTCATGCCATTAATACAACTTAAATTCATTTTTCTGCCAGCTCTATTATATAGTTCTGGGTTGTAAAAAGTCTAACATCAAAACTTTCAAAATTTTCAAAACCAAAAATTTCAGGGTGGGGCAGGCAGTGGGGAAAATTCAGGAGATGGGGCTGTAGCTGTTCTCACTTGGAGACTTTCAAGAACCTCAGATGTAGGTAGCTAGATATCAGAAGACAGTACATCAAACAGATGTCTCTTTTATAAACGTTCACTGATGGTAGAGCAACTACATCTTCATGCAATTTCATCAGGTATTCAGTTTATCACCTAGATGGAGCATTTCAGAGTTTTCCCATTTCCTCCTTACCGTCTTCTTTGTCAGCTCTTGCTGACTTTCTCCTCAAGGAACTGTAGCCATCTGTAGCCATATCCGCTGGTTGTCATCATCCGTATGACCAGGGTGATGGTGATTGTGACCCGTGTGGCAATGTGCTTCCCTTCTGGCAGGCTGAGCTCATCGGGAGCTTGACCCACAAACTGGAAATCCTGAAGGAAGCCAAGGAGGGCCTGCTCGAAGACATCAAGATGAACAATGCCCTTGGAGAGGAGGTGGAGCTGTTGATCAGCAAGCTGTGCAAACCTAACGAGTTTGACAAGTACAAGATGTTCATTGGCGATTTGGATAAGGTGGTGAACCTCTTGCTCTCCCTCTCAGGACGCCTGGCCCGTGTAGAGAACGTTCTGAGTAGTCTGGGGGAAGATGCCAACAGTGAGGAGCGGGTATGTATCTGCACAGCCATAGCCTCTTGGGCTTCTCCAGGGTGCAGGACAGCAGCACTCACAAGAACATCCTTGTGTAAGGTGGGACCTCCAGAGGCTCAAAGGAGGGCAGGTGTCTAAGCACTTATGTATAAGTGGTAGCAAATGCAGTTCTGTCCCAGGGAATCTTGGTCCCAGAACATATAAATGTCTCTGATCCTGTGAGTTTTGTCTCCAAACAGTGGCTGGGGTCAGGGCAGCATGTCTGTGACCCGTGGCTGGAGGAGAGGCTGGGTGGTGGTGTTGTGCATCACAACCCACTGCCTTTTGCCTCGGCTGAAGCCACATTTTAGCATTCTTTGGGTGGCTGTGAGACAGAGAGCCACATTGTCCTGGGAGTTGCTGCTTTCAAGCAAGTTTTACTGACTTTCTAGGAGCACTTTCTGCCCCCTATTAACTAGAACAGAGTTTGATTCAGTGGGATTCACATTCAGCCCATCATGAGGAATTCATCCTCCTCTCGGAGGCTTTTGACCAGGATCCTGCCTCCCCAGGAGGTGGCAGAGGTGGTGTTGGGAGGGAGGAGAGGGGGGATCAATGGGTTGGGTGCTGCTGATACTGAAGCGCTCTCTCTGGCGTGTGCAGAGTTCGCTGAACGAGAAGAGGAAACTGCTGGCTGGCCAGCACGAAGATGCCCGGGAACTGAAGGAAAACCTTGACCGTCGAGAACGGGTGGTCTTGGAGATCCTGGGCAACTACCTCTCTGAGGAACAGCTCCAGGATTACCAGCACTTTGTAAAGATGAAGTCCGCGCTCCTCATAGAGCAGCGGGAGCTAGATGATAAAATCAAACTGGGTCAGGAGCAGCTCAAGTGCCTGATGGAAAGCCTCCCCACAGACTTCATGCCCAGGGATGCAACAGCAGCAGCTGTCCTCGCTGCAGCACTTGCTACCTCCGCCGGCATCGGTGGTAAAACACCTCCAGTGGTCTCTTCCTCACTGTGACCTTTCCCAGGGGGACCTGGGATACAGTCCTCCTGAGAGAGTCTGTTTAATCCAAGTACTTGGCAGATGGTTCTCTACAAAGACAATGAATGGAGACAGGTTTAAAACAAGATTTCAATGAAGGAAAAAAATAGCAATAATAAAGGTTTTACTTTCCTTCCACTTCTGCTTCCTGGAAACTTAAATCAATGTGGAGGGAAATCTCCTGCCAGAGATGAGGAAGAGTCTGACAAGAATTAAACACGTTACCTTTAATTAAAAAAGTGACCTCCTCTCTTCCCTCCCTTCCCTGCCAACTTGGCACCTCATTAAATAATGAAGGATCTAAAAGAATGAAGCCTTAAAAATAAAACCAACCCATTCTACTGAACATTATTGATATTTATATTTTTTAAAGAAGACAGAATGTGTAAGTTTTTGTACATACTCTAATCAGTTACTTGATTCTACTTTGTTCTGTATGTAGAAAAGACTTTTAATTTTGTATTTTGTGAAAACCTTAACAAAAAGAGGGAACCCCAAAGATAGTCATGCATTAGCTTGGAACATCTCTTCATGGTTCTGTTGCTGTTGTTGTTTTTTAATATAATAAAGGGCTACCAGAAGCTTCAACTCATTGCACCACATGGTACAAAGACCGTTAAGTGGTCTTGTGAAGGAGATTTTGGCCAGGACAATACAACCTTGCCTTCTCTGGGTCTTGTGATCCTCTGATTCTGGAGTTCAAGCACTCTTTTATGAGAACCTGCATCTCAGGAGGTCAAGTTAGCGTCAAGTAACGAGCTGAGGTTCAGACTGACTGCGAGAGGGAGCGTGGGGGGAGCCTGTGCTTTGATTAATCGGCCTCACGATCTGGGTTGCTGTTGTAGCCACAGCACATTGCCATGAGATGTGAGTGGGATCTCTAGTGACATTATTTATAGGCATGTTTTTGAAGGGATGACATATGCTAAGACTTACAGCAGTACCTTGTTCGTCTGAACCCACTTCATGAGAAATCTAGGAGTGTTAACTTGAAGCCACATACTCTCTTCCTACCCACAGAAATCATGCACATGTAATGGTGACATTGTGCACCCTGGTTAGATAGACAAGAGCCCACCATAAGAACTATTGGATTATTTCCTAGTCAGGGCAACCTGGAGTAACTAAATTTGCCTAACTACAGAAAATGCCAATGCCCTCCTGTCACATCAAGCATTGATTCTCCAATCCTTAAAAAAAGCCTACGTGTTTTTGTAACACTTTTTGAAGCAGCAAGCCATTTACCTGTGATGCCAGCAAACATATCCTGCTCACTACCTCTGAGCCTCAATGCTGTTCAGGCTCATACAGCATTTCATGAGAACTCTAAGCAGGGGAACTAATTTTTACACCTTGACAGCTGAATCAAAAATAAACTTAGAGGGAAGAGTATTTTTGGAATTGAGTAGAGTTTCAGGAAAACAGTGGGGGGAGCTGTTTCAAGGCAATAATTTTTTTTTCCTTAAAAAAAAAATCCTAAAAAACCCACTGTACTTCAGTTTATTTTATTATATTTACAAGTTGTTTTAATTTAGATTTTTGGTTTTTTTTTGCAGCCACCCTTCCAGCCTACACTTACCAAAATAAATCAAAAAGACTTGGCAAATCTGGCAGGCCTTTGTGAACAGCCTCAGAGCAGCCAACGGTGCTTTATTCCATCTAGTAAGTTCTTTCCTGAAAAAGAAAGTCCTGCAGTCTACCCACATGTCAGGAAGAGCCCCCCATCCAAACAGGGCCTGCCTGTTTGCTGTACATGCATCAGCTGCTGAGGCAAGTGATAGTTACCTACATTTTTAAAACAGCTTAGATATTCAGCTGAAAAATTAGTTAAAGCCCATATTTCTGTTGTAAGTGCGGGTAAATTTATCATTAGGGAAGCTTTCTTTGCACAACTTTATTCAAAAATCATTCTCCTAACTGCAGGGTTTACTGAGTTTGATAGGAGCACATCTTGACAGGTATTTAAAGGTAATTAAGCATTGGCTAAGCCAGTAGATTTACTTCCTGGTGCCTTTGGCAAGAAGAGTGAACCTATTCATTGCTCCTTATCCCATTTGGCTTTTCTATAGTTTTTAAAACTATAGTATAATGGAAACTCATTTCCCAGAGTGATGACATGATTTCATGGGACAGGGATGCCACCCTTTTTACACTTACTGTCTAGTCCTTGTAAACTTACTAACAGAAATCTGAATTTTGGGTCTGCCTACATGAGATTTTTAAATCTGAACTGTGGTTATATGGCTGCTGCAGAGAAAGCCAGTAAGTTAAATACACAGGATTTTTAAATACAAGGGATATTTCCCCTTGCAGCTGCAACAGGAGCTGAACATTACAACACGTTAAAAATATGCAACAAATGGTGGTTCTCAACAGGTGGGCATTTTTGCTAAAAATGGGCCTTATTTTTATAATCAAAACACCTGTCTGGGATATTGGCATGGAATTCTCTACGTCCCACCCTGCCGCGGGACGGCACAGATATGGAAGCAGGTTTTTAAGCCTAACTCTGGATAAGTCCTCACATGCTTTCAGCGACACGCTGTGCCTGCAGCCTGCCCTGCCGCGCTGTGCCTCGTGATGGAAGCGCTGTGAGAATCCGGTCATCCGACTTGGCATTTGCTTTTTTCATCAGAGCCCTTGGGCAATCGATGGTCACAAGGAATTCATGTCAGATGCTTTCCTCAAGGCTAAATCTAGTAAAGAGTGTTTACATGCTCGGGTCTGTTGGTTTTAAGATTATATACAAGAGCTTTTTTGAAGGTTACCTGTAAAAATTGGTCAAACACAGAGCACCAAAATGGTTTATGTGTCAGGCCTGATCCATCATCATCTACCACTCAGCCCCTGTCATGATTATTTAGACTGGTAATTAACAGAAGCAAGCAAACCAAACTGGATAGCATTTCATACTTGCTCCACACAAATCCTCAGTATCAGCATGAGCCGAGATAAGTCACCTGCAAAATAAGAAATGGAGTTAGCTTTTCACAGCAGAGCCCATGCTTTAAATCGCTAAGAGCAAACTAGGGGCATATCTAGAGACCTGATCCCCAGGCTTTTCCATGCTTTATTCAACCATTCACCAAGACAGTGTTTACATCTGGGCTTAATTCATGTAAGAGCTGTTTCTTCTTTTACATCCCTTCCAGAGGCGTGTGTGCTTACTATGGCATGGTGTTATGGTTTGCCTGTAGTCTCACAGGGCTGTTGCTTCTGCCTCAGGACATAAACTGTTGTACACCTCTCATCTATTAAACCATCTATACAGGTTTTTTTTAGCAATGTGTCACTGAACAAACATTGTTTGTGGTGTGCAACTGAATGTATTTATGTGGCCAAAGTCGTCTCGGTCCAAAGGAAGGTTCTTTCCTGCCTGCTTTGGCCAGACTCTGCTGTCCGTCTTCAATACAAACTGCAGAAATAGGCTGAATTCAGGTTGTCAAGCAGTCCAGAGGGTGCTTGCTGGATGCTTGTATGAATACAGTTTATGCGATTGCTTATGTGCATACAGCAACACCACCTCTCCAGCTGTAGCTCTGGCTTTCATGCAGCTTGGTGCATCTTCATGTTAAAAATCCTTGCAAAACCCTTGTTCTAAAATGGCGAGGAGCTGGAGCCAGCCAAGCTCAGCACCCTCAGATGGGCTTCTGAGGGGTGTCAATACTGCTTTGCCTGGATTTGGGATCAGGGAAAAAGGGCTTGTTTTACACTACAGTATAAAAAAAAACAGAGTATGTATGAGCCAGGCAGCTTTTTTTCCTCTCTGATTTGCAGCTTGACGCCATGTCTTTCTGCTATGGTTGTGTTCTATGAGTGGATAGCCTTCAAATGAAACAAGAAAAGCCAGCAATACTTCTTTTGTTCCTGTTCTTTTTAGCACTAAATGAATCTTCAGGACTAAAATGCAAAAAAAAATCTACATAATTCAGCTGCTGAGAATAAGAGCTGCTGAAAGGGTGACTGACACCGAGGAAACAGCTTACGAGGGACCTGCTTTTGCACAGCTTGCTGTGCCACAGGTGTTTTCCTGAGCTAAAATAAGATTGTGATTTAAAAAAAAGGAGCTGGGCAAGCTTAGAAAGGACAGCATTTGAAAATGAGAAGCTATTGCGGGAGATTTTGGAGGAGAAAGTCGCTTTCTGCAGAAGTCTCAGCTCCTCCAGATGGTTTTGGCGGGGGCCGCCATTTTACCTCCCCCAGGAGCTGTGCTCAGGGTGCTGGGGGGAAGCACTGCACAACAAAGGGGATCCCAGACAGCCCCTCAGCACCCAGCCCTCCCCTGGACCCCCAAAAATGATAGCAGGGCTCACTGCCCACCCCTCCAGGTGTGTTTTTACAGCTAGTCCTAATCAGGGCTAACAAGGGGCAGCAGGGCTCGGGGAGGACTGTCCAGCAGCCCACACACAAGGTACTGCAGGAGGACGTTCCCCTCAGCCTGAGGCCTGCTGAGCAAAGGTGAGTACATTGATATTTTTATACATTTTTTCCCTCATGTGGGAAGGCTTCAGCTTGAGCCTGCCTGCTTGCACCTACTGTGGAGCAGCTGGGTTTGGGTTAAGGATGAAAAGTCCCAATTTTCCAGAAAGCAGGTGCCCCTGGGGGTTTGATTTCCCCTCAGAGGGAGGCCCCAGCACGTGTGGATGTGATGGGGCACACATCCAGGGAATTACAACATGGCTTGAGGGCCCAGCCCTGTCCCCCAGTCACATGGCAGGACTCATCCCTCGGCTCCTGCCCACAGACAGCTCACCCTGGTCTGGACCTGTCCGACCCCAAGGGTATGGAATCCCACACCAGCAGCGTCCAGCCTGGTACTCTGTCCTCCAGCATGCTACAGGAAAGGGGAATTGCATGGTTAATGTTTCTTCTGCTCCGCACCAGAATGGGGGGCAGTTATCAGGTAATGCAGCTTACGACTTTGAGGCTGACTTTCTGAAAGTATGTGACAGAAGTTCCTTGGGCTTGCAATTGTTGAAACTGGGACCAAGGGAGTGAGAGGTATGGAGACAAAGAACATGACTTAGCTCACCAAGTGCTCTTGCTAAGCTGGCTGGTGGTCTCCTTGCATTTTGTACGACAGACAGCAGTTAATTTCTTATGCCTATTGCTTGAAAGGAATTGCATTGCACCCTTTTGTTGGTAAATTCCAGTGGGAAGTGACCAAGCTGGCTTCCCCAGCCCCACCGTAACCCAAATTACCCATCAGCTGCCCTAGCACTCTCCTTCCATGTGCTGCACAGAACTTACACCACACAGTTTCTGAAGTGCACCATGCCCTGCAACTGTGTTTTGAGGCAGCACTGAATAGTGTCACATGCATGCTTGTGTCATGACAAAGTCACTTGGATGGCCTCTTTATGTCAAGTAAAGTTAATGTGAACTGCTCAGGGAGAAGTTATTTTTTGAGAAGACAAAGCTGCTAGTCTGTCTCAGCCACCACTGCTCTTTCAGGTCCTGCATGAGATTTTAATACATGTCATATCTACCACTGCCAAACTAATCTGTTCTGTAATTGGGTATTTGTCCTCCTCTTCCTGGACATGAGGTGATAGCATACTCTCACTTAATTTGTGTTCACAGAATCATTTAGGTTGGAAAAGCCCTTCAAGATCATCAAGTCCAACCATTAACCTAACACTAGTAAGTCCACCACTAAACCACATCCCTAAGTGCCACATCTACACATATTTTAAATCCCTCCAGGGATGGTGAAATGCTGGGGTCTGAACCCTGAGCCCTGAATTAAGGTTGACATATGGGTGATTCCCACAGCCCTTCATACAGAGGTGGTGAGTTTGCCTTATAGCTTCCCCCCAGGGTGCGGCCGGCCCTGCAGGGAGAGACATAAGGGAAATGAGCCCCAGGGGTCCCGCATGGAGTTGACAAAGGTCAGGTGTCTGCTTGGGGATAAAAGCTGGGACCACTTGCAGGGAGTCAGGAGTGTCTGTCTGTGGAGCTGCCCAGAGCTTCCTGGTTCAGGGCAGACCTCCTGACTCTCCCTGGAGCTGGGCCCTAGCCTGCTCAAGACCTTTGTGAACACAGGCCGATCGGGTGAGAGTCACTATGTGGTCACCTTTCTCTTATGTGTTCAGCTTGCTGGTTTGGCTGTTTCCCATGCCAACTGTGGGCAACCTCAGGTCTCTGTTTGTACATCCTTTTGGAGATCGTTGGGAGTGGCATTGATTATGTACCAGCTGATTGATCTGTTTGTAACCCCAGCGATCATTCATGGAATGTCCTTCTTGTCTACAATACAGTCTGTGTATTGGTTCATCTTCCTGCTGGTGGTGGTATCATTTTTGTTGGGCCTGGTCATTGGCAAAACAGATGGTGACTCCACCACTTCCCTGTTCAGCATGTTCATTGGTTTACAACCCTGAAGAAAGTTTTCCCCATCTCTATATAACACCACAAAGCCTCATAGCTGTTTTGCAGGGTTTTGAAGGTCTGGTTTTCCTTTGGCAGGATGTTACAAGGAAATAAGGTGGTGAATAGCCAGGGATGGAGGCCAAGTACAGATAGGCATACTTGCAGGGTTCAGCAAACATGTCTCTCCTGACAGGGATTGGTGTTGTTTCCCCCCACCTCAGTCTCAGTCTTCAGGCAACCAAGGGGCAGATTCTTCCTGCAGGCTTTTGGCTCCTATCGGGATGTGTTGCTGGACCACAAGACTGACTACACACTATGCAGAGTTTAAATTAAAAAAGAGACAACCCACACCCTCAGGCCATGCTGCAGCACTTTACGCTCCTCCCCAAAGCAAGCAGTGCTCCGTGTCCTCCCAGAGGTTTGAGAAGCCGAGGTCACCATGCACTTGCAGAAGAGCATACTTGGCACAGATGAAACCTGCTTTCACGTTCCCTGTGACCCTCTGCCTGCAGCAAGGCGTAGCATTCCTACTTTCCCAATTGCTCCAGCAGAAGAGAAGTCCTGTCATCACCCTAGGAGCCAGCCAGGGCACTCTGCATTTACCCTCCCTGTTTACCAGCATCACTTAGAGCAACAAGATTCTTTGTAGCTCTGGGACACAGGAGAAAGAAAACTCAAGAGGCAGGAAGTGCTGGCAAATGCACACTTCCTTCCTAGTCTTTCTCCTGTTTTGTGGTAACTGCCAGCATTAGGAGGCAGGATAAGCCTAATTAACTCTTGCGGAAAGTACAAGAGAGGGGTAGCCCTCGAAGGCACTGTTTGTACCCTGAGTACAGCCATCTGGAACACTTGTTGTTAACCTACCTAGAAATCAGGACTGCCTGCATAGCAGGCAAAACCCAGATGAGCTTTACTCTTGTTTGTCCTGAGCTATACTTCATGTACCTTATCTAATCAGGGCAGCCAGGAACAGAGGCAGCAGAGGGACCAGCTGAAAGCTCTCCTGTGCCTCTCAACACAAGGGCCTTGTCCTTTTGAAGTGCTTGTGTACATCATCCTTTAGCTCACCTTCAGTCAGATAGTGTAAAAGGGATAAAGGGCAAACAAGACAGCAGCCACCCCCTTTTCCCTAACACCTCACCCCAAGTACAAACAGCCCTCAGAATAAAAAGTCTTAAGTCTTATTTGCAAGGCAAGGCATCAGCAAGATGCTTCTTGTCTTTTCCCTAGTAAACCCTCTAGAAACTTAACGTCCTACCTTGTAACAACAACAGTACACCCGGAGCAGGAGTTACAAGTCCCATTTTCTGTATCCTTGTCCTGCAGCAGGGCCAGGCTCTCACAGGGTGCATGCTGTGGCTGCCCTGCTGCCACATGGAGCTGCATCCCAGCCAGGGATGCCCAGCTCTGCGGTAGCTGCTGCAGTGACCATCTGCACAGCCTCGTTGCCACGCAGCAGCTCTGTTGACAGGAGGCAGCAGGCCTGCAGGCGGTCAGCCTTTCCACAAAAAGCCTTCAAAGTGGCTGAGCTACTCTGCAGAGTGGTCTTGCCCCTACCCAAGCAGCTGGCCGACTGCTCAGCTGTTCAAAGGAGCAGCAAATGCTGCCCTGCTGAAAGAGATTAACCAACAGCAATCAGATTCCACCACCACTTCTTTACCTTTCTTCAGGTCCTCAAACACCACAGCAGTGCCACGTCAAGCCCTGTCTTGGGTAGGCAGGCAGCTGGGGAAGGGCAGCAGCAGGCACTCTCCAGGGCACTGCACGAGCAGAGCAGAAAGCTTGTAAGCAGAAGAGACTGTTGACTAAGATTTTTTTTTTTTTTTTCCTGTCTGCCTAACTGCAACTAGTTGTGTTTGGTGCACTTAGGATTTAATAACTCTAGTAACCTGCTTTGATCCAGGCCTCAGGCTACATCCAGAGCTTTGGAGCCAAGTGCTGCAGACACTGACCCACAGGCTGCTACATGGCTTGTCGCTTTGCCGGGCCACTGATTTCATGGCACAACACAATCCTGTGTCTCTGACGCAGTCAAGACCTTGATTCGTGAAGCACCACAGCCTGGATCCTCTAAAGGGCTCACTTCTGAGATTTCTATCAGGCTTTACCTTTCACTCTCTCTTTTCCCCAACTTCCTCACCTTATCCCAGGCCCAGCTTGCCTGTTTTTTCTGCTCTTGAAGTACACTGGTGCTAGCCAGTTAGTACAGTGGCACTAGCCTGCAACACACCCAACCGCTGAGCGGGTCCTCGGCAAGCAAATCTATTTGCATGAGTACAAACCATGCCCTGCTCCCCGTCAGTCCCCCATGGCCAGCAAGGAGGTGAGAACAGCACTTCTTGGGCAGAGTTGCACTGCACATGCCCAACACACACTTGTTGGAGTTTTCCTGGCTGGAAACTAGTCCCAGAGTTTTGAAACCAAACAGCCAGGAACCACTCACTGGAGCAAAAGAGGTCAAGGGAGCAACTAGTGCTAAGGTGGCAGCTACTGCTAAGGGGGCTTTTGCTCACAAGAAATCATGCTTTGCCTGGCACACAGTCTAACCCACATTAGGTTAGACCACATTTCCCCTTCCCACCGACACTCTCCCCCCCACCCCCCACAGCACACAGGAGCAAGCAGATTAGAGCAGAAAACAGCAGAGGAAGCAGCCACTGCAAGTTTAGGTTTATTTCACTACGCAGGGGGAGAACACCAAACAAACCAAGCTATAGCTGCTCGCTGAATTTAATGGCTTTGACTTTAAAGTCACCCTCCACAGCCAGATACTCGATTTTCTCCATGCCCAGCCGGTTAGGGAACTGGAACTCCACCTCGGGCAGCTTCACCGTTGCCTCTGTTGCATTGAAGGAGACGCAAATCTGTAGAGACCCACAAGAAGGAAAGCTAACACATCACAGCTCTCGAGCCTTGCTTCCCACCACCTCCAGTCTGGGTACAGGACAGATGAGGTATCTGCTGGTGTCAAGACCATGCTCACTGGCTCAGCCTCCTCCCAGTCCAGCTGAAGCATGGAGGGGAGTAAGCTAGTTTGTTGCAAAAGCTTGTCTTGAGGCAGAGCAAAGGGATGAGGCAGACCCAGCCCGAATCTCAGGTCAGTGTTTTAGTTGCTCACATTTGTGGGCTTGCCAAGGAAGGTCAGAGCGGAGCCCTTCACACTACTGAGCTGTTGGGCATTGACTTGAGCAGACCAGGTCTAGAAAACTGGTTGGCTTCAGCTGCGAGACACTTCCCCTGTTGCTTATTCCCCTTCCCGTGCCTGCTCCTTCTCCACAGAGGTACAAGGCAGCATTAAAAAGCTGCACTCTTGGCCCTTTAGTACTTAGTGCCAGAGCCTTGCACACCCCCTGAGGCCTCACCTCAATCTTGTCACCACGCTGGAAGGGGAAGTCAGCTTTCCTGTCCTCCTCACCCCACGTGCCATCCTCCTTCGAATTGCACACAATGGTGTTGACGTCCCCGTGACAGTCGAAGCGGGGGTTGAAATGCAGCAGGAGGTTGCCACTGTCCTTCCCTACATTGATGGCAAACCTGGGAAAGCAAGTGGCAAATGGAGGTGCCTGTGCAGCAGCTCCACCTACCCAGTGCCAAACACAGCAGGAGCTCAGGGTTTCCCCCGTGCCCCATCAATCCATTCACCTTCTCCTCACTCACCCTTTAGCATCAGAGAGGATCTTCCCTTTGATCTTGATGCACTCCTGGGGCTGGATGTCCAGCTGAGTAACGACCAGTCCCTGCAGGGCCAAACCACAGGAGTCAGCCTGTCTTGAGGCAAGCCCACCAGCCCTGCTTGGGCCGAGGCACGAGCCAGCCCTGGCAGTGGCAGACCCCAACACATCTACAGTTTGGTGCTAGAGGAAGGGTCAGGTCACACCAGCTGCCCGTCTCTGCCCACTGCTAAGGAATCCTGGATCACAGCCACCACCCCACCAAACACCATAAGACAACAAGGACCTGACTGAAGGCAGTGTAACAGGAGTAGGGAGCAGGGGCTGATTTAACAGCTGTTACAGGAGGCATACTTGCAAGCAAGCTTACTCCTTGAAGTCAGCAGTGGCCAGAGCCATTAGCATAGGAGTAACCTTAGTTACCAAGCTTTTCTTACACTAGGTCTCCTTCCTTCCCTAGGTGGGCCTCCATGCAACAGGAGCCACCACAGAAAGTTTCTTGTCCTGACTTAAAGCCGCCTACACAGAGACGGGTGGGAAGGTCATCAGAGCCCACTTTGCAGGGAGACTAATTTCACACGAGTTGTATGATGTACATGGCCTGTTTCTTGCCTGGCTTATGCAGGCCCATGCCCAGCAGCTGCAGTACTCCTCGAGGACTGCCACCCAGCCCCAGCAGCACATGCCCTCATGCCTACTCCCTGCTTTGCCCACACGAGCACTGCTAAGGGCAGATGTCCCCCCATCGTTAAACTGCTTAGCTGGCTCTATTTCTAGTGCAGCACAGCCTGAAATAGCCCCAGTACCTGGGCAGGTCTTTTGAGGAAAGGGAAGTTAGGGGGTCAGGTTAGAATTTCCCACCCTGCTTTCCTGTTGCAGTAAGAGTTAGCCCAGCCCCATACCAAAAGGTGTTTTTTGTGAAGGAAAACACAAAGTTTCAAGAAAAGAAATAGTAGAAAGGATATTCAAACTGTAGACTTGCAAACAGTCCCAAATCTGTAGAATACTGAAGAATAAATACACATAAGGACAGCTTCCCCACTCAGATAACACACTAGAGAAGAGGAGGAGAAGAAAAACAGCTGGCCAGCCTTAACTATTCCTCCCACAGCCATATATCAACTGTAGCATTTCCTCTTAGCTAATCCTTTTCTCCTCCTACCTCTGGCATGAAGCCCAAACCCCACACACAGCCCAACACCAGTCCTGCTTGGCACAGCCGTCCAGCGTGAAGAAGGCACTCACTTGCTCCATGCTGCAGACACCGACCCCAGGAGGCAGGACACCCCCAAGCCCCTGCTCCGCAACCACGAGTGACTCAGCGCTGGGCTCCCGCAGCTTAAATCACTTGGGCAGGACCATCACATGGTGGAGGGGGGGCCAAGAAGGGATCACTTGCAGCTGTTAGGGGCTGGAGCTTTCCCAGCCATTTAGAGAGGGCAGCGGGAGATCTCTGTTGATATTGTTCTTTGCAGGCAGGATGGGTACGACTTTAAAAGCGGGCGATTGTTTGCTGCTGTGTGATCCTGGAAATCCTGACCGTAAGCTCTTCTTGCTGCTGTGCAGCGTATGCTGGCTCCGATCCCGGGAGCCCGAGCGTGGCTCTGTGCCTGCAGCGAGGTGGCTGCTTTGTGTTAAGTGATCCCTGGCTAAAATCGGGGTTGGAGTCCTCGTGTTACTGCTGCGCAGTGACTGCCTCTGAGGATACGTGCGTACACATCCTCCGGGCCCAGCCTCGCCCACCAGCAGTCCCCGTGGACAAAATGTCGTTCCTGGACATTAAAGGAAGTCCAAGGGTTTGTTAGATTTTATTCTGGCGTTTAAAAAGTGCCTGAACGTGAAGGTTGTTTGTGCGGGGCACTACCAGATGTGAGAATTCGGGCTGCAGCTTTTGGAAAGAAGCATGATCCTGCTGGTTCCATTCCAGTGGCAGAAGACTCCAGAGGGAAAAGAGAAATGCTTTGTTCGGGGAGGAGGAGGAGGCCGGGCAGGGCTTAGCGCAGCCAGCAAGAAAGGAGACGGCTTTCCCAGCTAGATCCTAGTGCCTGCTTTCCCCCGTTGCTACGCCCCTTAAAGCACACAGCACGACTTCCCGCGGGCCGGGAGGAGAGGGGGGGAGCAGCTGCAGTGCTTTGTGGGTCCGTGTCTCTGGATCAGCCACTTGTAGCTTCGGATTGGCCCGCGCAGAGTCCTCAGGCCTCCGTGCCTCGGTTTCCCTCCTCCGCAAAGTGACGATAAGGACATGCAGCCTCACAGTCCTGCTTGGAAAACGTCGCTCAGAGCTGCTATGTGCATGCAGCATGCTGCTCGTTGGTTAAGCCACGAATAGGCTGTGAGATGCATATCTGCAGATTAGGAAGGGCTGCACAGGGCAGCTTCCAAAATAGCGCAGGATTTTCTGTTTAGGTAGCAGGAGGAATCGCCACTGCTCA